TCATGGCGTCGGGCATCCAGTCGGCCGGGTCGACGGGCACCAGACGAGCGTTGGGAGGGGCGGTGGCGCTGTAGGAGAAGACAAAGCTGGCCTCGCCGCCGACAACCAGCAAGCTGTGCTTTTGTGCGTCCGAGAGCTCGGTGGAGGTATGCACGGCGTCAAGCAGGCCGTGCAGGCGCTCATAGTACTTCTCGGCGGCGTCGTAGCCGGCCGCCGTGACGATGCCGACCTTGATGTTGCGGCGCAGCAGAGACATGATGCGCGGAATGATGGGGCTGTCTGGTTCGAGGTTCTGCCCGTCGGCGTAGAGCGTGAGATCACCATCAAACGTCACCAGCTGCAGCGAATCAGCACTGTGCGCAACGACGGCGCCGTTGCGGCCGTGTCTCGTGCCGTTGGTCGAGGTGGCCGTTAGGGCCATCAGCTGCGCTGTGTTGAGGGTCAGCCGCACGTCGTTAAATGACGGTGGCACGAGCCGCCGCGACGAGATGTGCCGCCGCGCATCCTGGTACATGAACGCCGCCTCCAGTGGCAAGGCTGTAAAAAAGGGCCCTGCTGTTGGCACGAGCATCTGTAGTCGTGATGGTCGTGGCGATTGTTTGGGTGTCTCGAGCGACTGCAAATCCTGCAGCAGGCGGTGCTCGTCGATCATGGCCTCGATGTCTCGCATGATCTCGGCATAGCGGCGGCGGACCTCAGCAGTGTTGGAGGCAAAGACTGCATCGTCATCCTCAAAATCGCCCGCCGGCTGGGAAAAGAGGACAAAAGGGCTGATGAGGAGGCCCTTTACCCATTCTACGATCTGTGAGTTCGATGGCCAGGGATGAAGGGATAAGGAGCTCTCCTACCGATTAGCTGGTCCCGACGATGGGATTTGAGGGCGTCTGGAAGAGCGTTAGACTACGAGCAAGCTTAATCGGTGAGGAGCTGTCTCAAGGGGTTCTCACACTCGACACGATATTTGCTGGTCATTGTCGATCAAGAACTGATAACTGAGCTGGGTGGAGGACGAAAGAGGAGACCCAGGCGGAGTCGTCAAGGATTCACGATGTTTATACACGGTTTCTCTATTCAATAAAAATGAGACAAGAAACAAGGCAGGCCTCGCTGCAGGTCGGGTGTTGGCAATGCAGGTCTGAGTTCAGCGCTTGGACAGTAAAGGAGGTCATGCGTCCAGTGTCGCAGACGTTCGGTGTGAGATTGTGTGTGGATTGAGTCAGGCGCGAGCTGTGTCTAGCTAAGCGCGCCGCGGGGAAGGGGCGAGCCAGGACTACTTGCCCGCTCGCTTCAGTGTTCACCGTTCCAGACCTCCAAAGAAGTCTTTATTTACAGGCGGCCGCTTTGAGACTAGTTTGTTGCCATCCACAATGACAGCGAAGAACGAAGGAAAGAGCGACGCTGCAACCGAATCATAAACTGCAAGCATCCTCTGTCGCACCTGCCGTCCCATGCTTTGGTTGGGCGACGACGGCCTGATAGGAAGGAGATACGGCCGTTCGATAGGTGGTGGCGGTGGGGGCAAGCACGACAGTAGAAAGTCTCGTGACGCAAGTGCGGTGAGACAGGGTGAAGACGAAGTATCCAATTGCATTGTGATGATTATCCGGCGATGCTTTTGACAGCATCCATTGGCCAATTGACACCAGAATGGCAACGTCCAAGCAAACTTCGATATACAAACACAGTTGTAGAGAATGATACGATGACGCATGCAAAGATGGCCCAGTCTGCCTATTAGTTGTTGGTTCGCATTACTCTTCATGTATATAATCCCCTCCTTTACCTATGACCTCCCTTTTAATCTGCACCTGCATCGCTGTCCTCGCCCTCCTCGGACTCTTCAACCTCCTCCACGACCAAACTGGCCGACTTGCCAATCGCCTCCAGCAGTTTCTTGGACTCGGACGGTTCGTGCAGCTCACGCGGCATCATGGACGCAATCCGGAACTTGTACACATGCGTATAGCCGGCGGGCTTTGTGGCCTTTTCACTGATGACCTCGTCTTCCGTGTCGCCGTCCGCCTCCTCGTCGCTCACTTCCTTGCTGTTGCACTCCACGAAAGCGTACAGGTCCTCGACTGTCGCGTCGGCCGCAAAACTGCGGCGCAGGCGCTCGCCGCCGCGGGACTCGGGCAGCTTGATGGCCACACGCACAACGTTGGCCGTGCCGGCCGCCGGTTCCGGGGCCAACGTGGTCGCGCGCCATGCGCGCCACTGTTTGCCCAGCTGTGCCTGCCGCGCCGCTTCGGCCTCGCGGTCGCGCGCCTGCTGCTCGGCTTCTTGCCGCTGCCGCTCAGCCTCCTGTCGCTGCCGCGCGCGCTCACGGTCAATGGCCAGCGACCGCTCGTAGGCGTTGTCCTGCTCGATCCGAATGTTGCGCGTGGTCTCGTTGGCGACACGAACCGCCCGCACGGCCGCCAGGTCATCGGCATACTTGGCCGTGGTGAGCCGCAGCTGTTCGACGAGATACCCCGCCGACACAGGGCCCACGACGCGCTTGACCGTGCCCATGCGCGTGCTGCCGCCTTCCTTGGGCGTGACACAGATCATGGCCATAAACGGGAACTTGGTGACGCGGTGTTCAATCGACACCTGGTACGCCTCCGGGTCGCGCACGCTGCCGCCCCACAACATAATGTTGTTTGCCGGGTTGTTGACGAACTCGACCACGTCCGGGTGCAGCAGTGTGTCGCGCGCGTAGCTCTTGGTATCGTCATGCTCGGGCGCCAGCAACACCATCATGAGGTATTTGGGTTCCGTCTTGGCCTTGTCGTACGCCTGTGTATAGCCCATTTCGACAAACGGCAGCGCCTCGGAGCCCGTGGCCTCGGCAAATTCACGCTTGAACCGGGACGCCGCGTCCCGCGGGTTGAGCTGCCGCCGCGGTGCTGCCCGGGCGCCGCTGGCCATGCGTCGGAAGGCGCCCAGCCCCGGCACGAGGCCCAGAATGTACTGCACGGCGCTCCAAAGGCCGGCCAAGAGCCGGTAGCCCAGGTTAAAGGGTGACAGAATAAGAGCCATGAAGAACGACGGCCGCACGACGGGTGCGGGGGGCTGCACAACAATCCGCCGAGCCACGTCGGTCCGCTCGGCCGCCATCCGCCGGTTTTGCTCGGCGGCATAGCGGGCCTGCTCAAAGACATTGTGGACCGGCGGGCCGGCGGCCGCGTCGAAGCCGCTCAACGGGTCGCCAAGGTCGATAAGGCGCTGCGGCTGGTTGTTGGCGGGTCGTGGTGGTCCGGGCTGTGGTGGCGGGGGGAGGTTGTTAAGGTCGGGCACGGAATCGTCCTCGCCGTCAAAAAACTTGCTAACAGCGACCTGTACATGTTAGACATAGCGAACAACTCAAATCATGTATGAACACTAGAGAGCTCACCGTAACACTCCAACCGGATCGCCTCAAGAAGGCGACCGATGTCTCGGCGTCTTGCGTCGTGAGGACACCAAACTGCCGCACGGCTTCTTCTTGCTCTGCTGTCAGCGGTGGGTCGGCCGCATTGGGCGCCGCGCTGGGCCCCGGGGTAGCCATCGTGGGCTGTGTGTGTGAGGTTGTTGTGTGCTGGCCGTGCTCGTACACACAAGGCCACACTGGCGATCGTTGAAAGTCAACGAGGTTTCCCGGTTTCGCGGATAGCCGGATACGACGGGACAAACTGGTCGAGCGAGAAGACAACAATTCCGGTTTCGAGTCTGTCGAGATAAGAGTCGAGGGAAAGATGAGGAAGGCTGTGTTAAATGCAAACAAGCAAAGAACGTCGTCGGAACTCCTTGGCAGGTTGGTGGGCAGAGCTGGTCGTTGACAATACAGAGCCACGGGCCGGTCGTGTGTCGAAGAAACGGAGCGTGCGGCGTATAGTTGCGTACGTCGAGGACGAAGGATGAAGCTGAAAGGTTCCGAGGATATGGCTGTTGGCAGAAATGGGAAGCCTCCAATGAGTTATGCAGTCTCCTCCATGCTTGCTTCGTTTGACTGCATGCTGTCTACTTGCCAGTGGACACGGAGAATCGCAGTCGTCACGGTTGACGCTGGTCACACTAAACCTGTTTGGGCATTAAAATTATAGCGCCAGAATGCCGCAGAAAGGCCAGATGGCCCTGGGTGGGGCCAACGGCGAACCAAGAACGGTGGGCGCCCCTGATTGGCCGAATCAGGATAAAGCTTGGACCCACCTGCCGTGACGAACACTATCAAAAAAGGTAGCTGTGCATGCCTGCAATTGTGGTCGGCTGGCGAGGCTGCAGACCAGCAGCAACGCACCACTTTACATCGTTCAAAGGGGGATGAGGGGATTGACAGATGAAATAGAACGTAATTGTGCCCAAAATACCCCTATACAGAGGGATAATTATTAGTGAGAAGTAAACCTACGATGTACAGGCCACGAGTATGTCTGTGCCCATGCTGAAATGTGCCGCTCCTCTATTCTGACAAGTATCTTGGTTCTGGTCGGTTGCACTTCTGCAAGTCATACAACTCCAGGTTACTTTGCACGTTCGAGGACTCCGAGCAAATGGCATGCACTCTGCATTCTGTACGCAAAAGCCCAAGTCCTGGCATTCATCAAGTGACGAGAGAGCGAAGACAAGGCGATGCTGATGCCGCCCCAGCCTTATAAACCATATAGTCAGCCAGAAGACGGTTACTTTTTGATATGAAGGCAACCATTCTCGCTCCTTTCATCGGCGGCCAGCTGCCTTGTCGTCCATCGCTTTGCAGACCACCTCTCACTGGGCTCGAAGGGCGTCTTGAAGGCTGCCAAGTCCACGCAGGAGCAGAGGTGCTCCCCCCGACAGCACTACGTAACGGGATAGGTCAATTCAAAGGACGATAGACGTTCAGGCCAAGTGAATAAAACAATCTTCGTGTTCGTTGCTCTTGTTGCGGTGTTCATTCGGGCACTCGCTCCTGGTAAAAAAAAAAGCGCGCATGTTTCTTCCACTTTCTCTTTCCTTGTCGACTCCTGCCATCGTTTGCCGCGAGAACGAACCAGCCCAGACCCATGAATGGTCCATCCAAATCTCGTTTGTTGCACAACATCTTGGTGAGACACGCCGACCACCACCGCCTTGCCCGCTTCGAGGGTCGAGGGCGTATCAATGCGGGCCGCTGCAGCTCTTCCTTGTTCGAGTCTCATCATACATCACAATTTCAATCTCGTTTATTCACGCACCGTGGCCATTCGTGTTGTTTGGTCCTTCTTGTTGAAGTGCTGTTCGAGCTGGAAAGCGAAAAGCGCAGTCTGTTTCCAGTTAGCTTCAAAGGTGGCCAGGCTGATGGGACAGGGGAAGCGAACAAGCAGCGTGACGCTGTGCGTTAGTGAGGTACAGGCATTTCCACAGGCGTAGCTCGTTCTTTCAAGTACTGACTTACTGACCAACCCTGCGTTTCCGTCAGCGGGGTAACGGCGCTACCAAGGAGCTCACAGTGTTTGCTCCCAGACGGACCTTGCGCCTGCATTCCAACTTTGGGAAGGAAAGACCCACGTTGTTCCGCTCCGCGCATCGCTCGCCGTCCTACCAGCCTTCCCTGGTCACCTAAGAGAGACGACCAAGACAACAACCTCGTCGAACCTTCAACCTCTTTCGCCCTGCAATCGGCAGCGACATCTTCTCCTCTACCTTGCACCGTCAACGCGCTTCGACGACGATTCATCCTCACGATTCTCCGATGCCAGCCAGCCCGTCCGTCTGCTCAATTTCGCCCGGCGCGTCCATCCCCGCTGCGTCAATTCGTCACTCGCCCGCAAATTAGAACCGTGGATCATCGGAACAACGACAATACGAGCGCGTCATCCCTTTTCACTTCTGCTGCAAAACGCGTTGCTCAACATCACCTTTCGTCTTTTATCGCACAAGACGCGCGAGCCAGACATCTCTACGCACCACCATTATCGTTATCTCACCCCTCTCCCCGAATACAACCCAGCCGACGCTCGTTGCATCGCGACGTAAATACTGATTTCGCAATGGATGCTGGTGTTTGGAGTGTCCGGGTACGTGATCCAGCGAGCCGTTCTTTACAACTCAGGGGCCTCGCAACCCTTTCAATCCGTCATGCGCCTCACACATAGTTGCCCGCGTCATACATGGCACCTTGCTAACAGCCACGTTCGAACCGCAGAGCCTCTAAACGAGACCTCGGCCATTGCGTATCCGTGCACCGACAGATCATTCAGGTCGGTGAATTCGGTACAAAAACACGTCGGTTGATGGTAATAGTACGCGAGTCGCTGTTTGCTGTGTTTATTTCTTGTCATGGCCTCCCACGTGGCATCTTGTGACGCATTTGCTGACATTGCCATGTGTCTCACTCTAGAACAACCGAATCGGAACATAATATTGGATGTTCCTTGCGACCTCATAACTACCCTGCATCTTTATCATGGTTTTGGCTGAACCGAAAACATGGCAGCACCCAAAGACATGTACGGGACAACAGACCGACCCCCTGTTTGCGTCACATGTCTGCGTCCTCATTCCAATCCACACTGGTTGCTAACACAGTCCGTGACAGAGGATCCTCAAAGAAGGGCCTCAATGGCGACTCTCCCGTTTTTACTCCCGGCTCTGCAAACTCTCCGCTCCGAAAGTCTTCGGTTCTACCTCTCCAAGCGGCCAATGCGGCTCCGTTCACACCCCTAGGCACGAGCGGTATGTGTCCTCGGCCGTGACCCTCGAGGGCCTTGCCTCCCCTCCCGTCCTATATACTAACAAGGAGCCTTGCTACAGTTGTGTCGGCTAGTAACGCGTCGTCCTCGGCCTCGCCCCGCGAACAGCTTCGGGATCTTGTTGGCAGCAAAGAGGCTGGCCAGGCCATCCCGCGAGCCGACGCGTCGGCCTTTAACCTGGCATCCGTCCGCGAATTTGTTCCACGCACGTCAGATCAGTCGTCCGGATTCAACGCTGGCTCGGCGAGAGAATTTCAGCCAAGGGGGGACCGCTCGCCCTTCAACGTCGCCAAGGCCGTCGAGTTCCGCCCGCAGTCGCAGACCGTCCCCCCTTCCACCACACCTACCTCTACGTCCTCTATCCCGAGCCAGGCGCTGCCTTCACCTCAGCCACCTCAGCCCTCTCTTATTTCTCAACAATCTCAACAAGCTTCTCTAGCGGCTCAACAGCAGCAACAGCAGCACCAGGTGCCTGCCCAGGGGTCACACTACAACCTGTCCAACGGCCCATCTCAACAGTCTCACGTCTCGATTCCCACCGGACCCTCGCGAGCCCCCACCCACGACAACTCTGACCATATCAACCGGGCAGGATTGGGTGGTATGGGCAACTTAGGCGGCATGGGCAATATGGGTGCCATGAACATGGGCGCCATGGGTGGTATGGCCGGCCTAAGTGGTATTGGCTCCTTAGGTTTCGGAATGCCACCAGGAAGCGACGTTCAGCTCGGACAGGGTGGTAACGTTTTCGACTCCTACAACGTTGCTTCCCAGGGTGCCTCCGGGGGTGCAATCACGACTTCTCCATACAATCCCTATGCGGCTACCAGCCAGCAGCCGGGCAGAGAGGGCGCCGCGTATTACCAGGGACAAGCTCCCTTTGCTGCCCAACACCAGCCCGTACGTTGTCAATTCCATTTTCTGCCTGGTTTTGGTTGTTGATTTCTTACTAACTCTGTCTAGCCCGGTGAACACCTCTACTTCCCCCAGGGCCCCCACCGCCAAGACCTTCTTCCGCGTCAACGCACGATTCATGAGTTCTTCTTGCCTGAAAAGCTTCGCCAAGACTTCCACATGAAGTCCAGGGTTGGCAACCAAGCAGCGGTTACTTGTACGTACACTCACACTTTTACGTTTTCTCTGCATAGGATCGGCTAAACTGACACCACGCGATGATAGTGTCCGTCAATGTCGAGAGCTACCACTCGCTCACAGCACTTGACACCAATAGCCATAAGGTCGCTGGCTCGTTCGGCCGCATCACTTGGCTCTACAAGGCTGTGGCAAGCAAAAACGGCAAGCATTATTGTTTGCGGCGCGTGGAAAACTTCCGTGTGAGCAATGAAAACGCTCTGAGGACAGCACGCGAGTGGCGTCGCGTCAGCAGTGGGAATGTCGTCACTGTGCACGAGGCGTTCACGACGCGTGCCTTTGGAGACAGTTCAGTCGTGTTTGCTATGGACTACTTCCCCCTATCTGTGACGCTCATGCAGTACCACTTCCCAACGTACGGTCAAACACGCCCCCGCGGCAATGTCACGATTCAGGAAACGGTCCTGTGGGGGTATTTCGTGCAGATTGCCAACGCACTAAGCGCCATCCACAGCGCCGGTCTGGCCGCCCGCAGTATCGACCTCACCAAGATCATCCGGACGGGTAAGAACCGCATCCGCTTGAGTGGCTGCGCCGTGCAGGACGTCATCAACTATGACCCGTCCCGCCGCGTGATCGATCTGCAGCAGGAGGACTTCATCCACTTTGGCGAGGTGATGGTGTCTCTCGCCACCTACACGCCACCAAATGAGCTGAAGAAGCCGCTTTCGCATCTGGATCCGCTGCCCGAGATTTATTCGCATGATTTCAAGGCCGCCGTCAAGTGGCTGCTGACGCCTGCTGCCAGCACGACTGCGGGTCCAAAGACGATCGACTCACTTCTCACCGGCATCGCACCGCAGGTGACTCGCTTCTTCGACATGTCTCTGCAGGAAAACGACGGCCTATACAGCCTCACGTCCAGAGAAGTGGAGAATGGCCGCATTGCACGTTTGATGATGAAGCTAGGCACAATCAACGAACGCGAAAACTACCAGCGGGATGCGTCCTGGGCCGAGCACGGACCCCGCTACCCTCTCAAGCTCTTCCGCGACTACGTCTTCCACCAGGTGGACGAGTCCGGCCGGCCCGTTGTCGATGCTTGGCACATGATCTCGTGCCTCAACAAGCTGGACGCCGGCTCGAACGAGGTGGTACGACTCTCGAGCCGTGACGGAAGAACCAATTTGTTCGTCACGTACAAGGAGCTGAACAAGATGGTCCAGCGGTCATTTAATGATCTTATTCGTCCAACTGGTCCGCTTCGGCGCCACAACTAGAAGTCACCTGTACACGAGCAAATGGCGCCTGTCGAGAACAACATTGTCCTACCACCACCTGAACGTCAGCGAAACGCACTGTCACCCTCCGGGGCCGTCATGCCAGAGCCATCCTTGTCCTTGTCTCATGTGCAATGTGGACCTCAATACGCCAACGGTTTTGCACAGCGCCAATCCATCGGCCGAGAATTCCTACGGCTACGCCATGAAACTGCAATGGCCCGAAATGCACCCGGTTCTCTGCATCGTCTGGTGTCTTTTCAGCCGGGCCCTGCGTCGTCTAGAATGGAACCAGACCAGCGTACTATCGACTCTATTATTGACCAATCTACAGCCACCGGCGTCAACAACCGCACCGGTCATGTACCAGCGAATTTCCCGCCATCTATTCCAGCGGTTGGAATCGACAATGACCAGCCCATATTTCAACATACCCACCAGGGTTTCCCTGTGATTTCATCTCAATACCCGATGAAGTCCCACCTGGATTCTCAATCTCATCGCCATGTCTCCCAGGGGTTCTGGCCATACCGCAGCCTGGGGTCAGGTCAAGGCCTTGACGAATCCAGGCGCTGAAACGTCAAACCCAGGTTTTGGCAGATGCGTCTTCTTATTCCATCGTTCACCCGATAATCTAGCCTCCACTATCCTCGACGCGACCTTCGATTTTAGCTTTACCCCATTTCCGCTCCTGAAGTGTTCATACACATCAATTTCACCGGGCCTTTCAAACTGTTAAAGTCTCGCAAGGGACAGACACTTGCGGCCTAAAGCGTTGATTTATCTTCCCCTTCCTATTGGTTTCACAGTTATCCCCTTTGTCCCTGGAGCTGCGGCTTGGGAGGCAGATGAGCATTTCGTTTGCAAGAGCGATATATCTTGAAGTACGAAGTCCCATCTGCATAGGCAAAATATTATTTTGTCCTGGCTGATTACTGTTTTACATTACCCTGACCCCCAAATCTGGTTCCCGTTGCTTCTCTTTATTTGCGATTTGTTGCTTGTCGTCGATGTTGCTTGTTAATAACTGCTTAGCTGCAGAGTAGCGCTTGTTGTATTGGTTACTCGTTTTGCACAACAGAGAACCAAAGCGTTGTTACAATGTATCGACGCTTCTTATGAGGAGTCCAGCATATTTATTTGTACTTTCCATAAATTGGAAGGCAGTCTTAGCAACGCGATAGACACCAAAAAAATATAAAAAACGAAATTCAATTACAAAAGTGCCCAACGACTGTGATTACAGAACACAAGACCAAACAAGTACTTATTGTAGCTTAACTTCCATCCCAGCCAAGTAGGGGCATCGTTTTGATTTCCTTTTCATTTGTCAAAGCTCTTTTTTCTTTCCATTGATTTTGGTATGCGATGCAGTTTTTGTTCATACAAAGAGACCATTTATATTTGTGGTATTTCCTGCTCCGTGCGCCGATCATATGTCCTCACGTCTTTACAATTTCCAGGCCTGCCATCCCATCAATCCGACTCCTCCTCATCCGCCTTGGGCGTGTACTGGTATGCCGGCGTAATTTTACTCGCCGGGGTCTCCTCCGGTGCACCGCCCTCGGCCGACTCGGCAGCAGCAAGATACGGGTTGCTTATGCTTTCGCTGCCGTCGACGGGATGCAACGTCGTGATGTGTGTACCGCGGATCACGGCCAGGCCCAGCGAGCGGGACTTGACCTCACCTTCTGCGTCTAACGAGAGGGGATATTGTCAGCAGCGCATTCTTTTACGTGAGTGATGGACAAAAGGGGCAACGTACTGCGCATCTTCTCCTGGGCGTCGTCGAGCACCATGTTGAGCAGCGGGTCATATCCCTTGAGCGTACCGGATACTGCAAATGCGCTGTTAGCAGCTGTTAATCTCCGTCACAGCATGGTCACCCGGCCGCCAACAACGTACCCTCGCGGCCGCCGTTGAACTTGACGTAGATCTCCCGGTCCATGTACTGGCCAAGATCCAGGATGTTCTCCTTCTTGGGCGCCGCTTCCCGGTCGCCAGAGCCGCCGTAGCCACCCCGCGAAAACCCACCACCACGACCGCCCTCACCGCCAGCACCACCGCGACCGCCGCCGCGCTGGAACCCGCCACCCCGGTCGCCGCCGCCACGGTTGCCGCCACGCGGGTAATTTCCACGTGCCCCGCCTGCACCACCGCGCCCGCGGTACTCGCCGCTGCCGCCGCGTCCGCCGCCGCCGCTGTTGTTACCACCACCTCCTCTGGAGGCCGGGCTGTACCGGCCGCGGAACGGTGTTGACATGGCAGGGAGCTGTGTCGTGTGCTGTAGTGTGAAACAGAGAGAGGGGAATATGCGAGAGAACAGCTGGGTGTGTCCTCGTCGTGCGCAAATTGGTGAACCGAATCAACAAAAGCTTGAATTGCGTCCGTGTCGTCAGGTTTGCACGCCCAGTGAGAACGTGAGGTCGTCTTTGTGCCGTAGGGCGGGTTGCTGTCGAGTCGTTGGAGGTTGAGGGCAGACGTGAGAAGGGAAGCTTTGGAAGACGTCCAAGATAAAAATGGGTCGCAAAAATGGTGGCGCTATGAGCGATGCGCGCCTCCAACCACGACAACGTCGAGAAAACAAACCGAAAACTGCCTACTATACTCTAGAGATCGAAATTATTAGTTTGTTTCTCTAAAATCCCTCGAAAGTCTTTACAATTATCAACAGTGCTTAGGTACAGGCAGCTCTCTTCGAAGCTCTTGTTGGTTGTACCCCGGTAGATGCATATATTCATTTGGTCACGTGAGCGCGCTCCACTGGTCTTAGTTTGTTGCTGGGGGAATTAGTTGGCTCCTAAACTTTTTTTTTTGGTGAAGGAAACGCGACCCGACGACAGAAGCTCGCGGCAGAAGCTCACCCTTTTCCAGCTCCAAGCACTTATTCACGTACGACTTTTTGCATTACCCGCCTCACGAAACTGCATCGCATCGCCGTCACGTATAGTCAACGCGCATATCTGCATTTCTGCATTTCTGCCTTTCTCGATTTTAATTTCGTCTCGACGAGCTTTGCATTGTTTTGTTCCGCATTGGCAGTTCCTACGCCGCCTCTCCGTCCCAACCACCAACATGGCGCCGTTGGTGCTTCACAACGTGCCCGATGACGAGCTGTACATAGGGGCAGATGGCGTGACGCGGCCATTTGCTGTGGTCGGCGCAGCAGATGAGTACGTCGAGGAACTTCTGAAAGCTCTGGACAGCAGAAGCCCTGTGATGATCCAAAAAGCTAACCATATCTTTTATTTGAAATGTACAGGCGGCGATCGGCACGGTTACGGCGACAAGCAACAGCCACACACGGGTCATTCGGCCGGGCACGGTCACGACCACGGGCAGGGTCGGTTGGCCCCGGCGGCGCGCGTGTCAAGCAGCAGCAAAGCAAGCCGGCAGTAACGACCACTTCGACAATGGCCGACATGATGTTTGGATCATGGAAACGGGAACAGGAACAGCTCCTGCAGCACCACCACTCGCCCCAGGATGGGCCCGACTCACAAGATGGCCACACAGACGACCACCTCGATGTGCACAGCGGACGCGGTGGCAACGCATCGTCGGCCACAGGACGCAAAGTGAGCAGCGGCAGCAGTGCGGCCCCAGCGAACCCCGACGACAACCGAGATGATTCACAACAAGAAGCAGCGTACCAAAAGCCTCAGAATCAGCCCACCGAAGTCATCCTGCGCGGCTACCGCTCCGCCGACTATCAGTACGCGGCGCTGCACCACTACGAGCAGATCGCCGGTCGCATCTGCGAAGACTATCCACGCGACCCACCTATTGGCAGCCGGCGATATCGGTCGAGCCTCCGCGACGGCGCTGCTCGCAGCGCGGCCACGTTGGCGTCCAACGGCCGGTCAGCCTTGACACCCGCGGAGCGGCAGGCTGTGATGCGTGCTGCCAGCGGGCAGCACTGGGTCAAGGTGACGTTTGAGTCGGCACAAGCGGCCGATGCGGCCCTGTATGCGTCGCCACAGCGGATTCTGGGCCATCTGGTGACGGCCGAGCTGTACCGAGGCGTGCCCTTGCCGGCGGCCGAGGACGTGGCGATACAAGACCCGGATGCACTGGACGAGTACGAGCGGGCCGCGCACGGCGGCTCCCAGGGCGGTCAGGGCAACGACCACGGCTTTGGTCGGTATTCGGTGACATCGTCACATACGGTGGATTCGGGCACGGTGACGCACGACGACCCATTTGGAGCTGGGTCACGGTCGTCGGCTACCGGCTCCTCCTCCGCTACGATGACGGGGTCCGCCCTCCGACGCCAGGCATGGCCTGCTTCGGAGGACGGCGCGCGGGTGGACCTGGACAATGCTGCCGCCGCAACGCCATCTGAACAACAACAGCAGCAGCAGCAGCAGCAGGCCGCGGCAACCGCAGCCGACAACGAGTTCTGCCAGCGGATCCCAACCGCACGCCGGGCGACACTCAAAGCACCCGAGTTGGCCCTGCTGCCGACCGAGTCGACGATGCGGCGGTTTGTCAAGCGACTGCCGCTGCTGCACCGGCTGACGGGCACAATCATTGGCAACCAGGTGCCGCGGCGCGAGAACGGACTGTTCGACTGGGAGAAGGCGAGTCTGTACTGGAAACTGATCTGGTGGCTCGACTACCTGTTCCTGCTGTTTGCAGGCGAAATTCTCGACGCAAATAGGGATGAGTAGGGGACGGACTTGGTGTGGGAGGGCGCTAGCACGTTTTGCTTTTGTGTACGGGAATGTGCCAGCATACATTATAGGGCGAAAGGCGTGCAGCCATTGAAGTTTAGCCATTCCATGTTGGGACACCCGTTGTTCAAGTTTTGGGGGGCTTTTATTCACCTGTTTTTACTTGGTTTGTTGAGCTACATTTTATTTAATTGATGACGAATTGACGGCCAAAAACAGATGCACATGTATCATTTAATTCATTTATATTTACTTTCCAGGAGAAGCAGAAAGAACAACAAAAATTCGAAAATAAGCAAAAAATACGAGTGTTTTTTTCTTTTCGCTTTTAAATAGCCCGGAAACTCGCAAGTTTCAATCTATCCGATGCCACCAAATTTTAAATGTGTACTTTAATCCGTCGCTTAGTTGTTCTCCTTGACAAACTTGCTGTCCTTGACGGTGTACAGGCTCAGGTACTCGTCAATGGGCATGCTGTCAACGCGGCTACCGTCGGTGCTCAGCTTGACAAGCTCCTCCACACGCTCGGCGCTGAAGTGGGGCGACAGGTGGCGCTTGAACTTGGCCAGGATGACGGGCTTGGCCTCCTCGCGGCGCAGAGGGTGGCCCAGGGGCGCCTCGACAACGACCTCGGGCAAGACGGTGCCGTCGTTGAGCTCGACGGTCAGGGCGTTGGAGATGGTGCGCTTGTCGGCGTCGTGGTAGTCGGCGGTGAACTTGGGGTCCTCGACGCAAGTAATCTTCTTGCGCAGAGCGTCCAGCTCGGGGCTGGTGGCGGCCTCGGAGCCGTCGAGGTAGTCGTTGGCCGTCAGGCGGCCGTACTGCAGCATGACGGCGCTCATGTACTGGACGCAGTGGTCGCGGTCGGCAAAGTTGTTGAGCTGGGCGAACTGCTTGTCGATGATGCGGATGCAGGCCTCGTGGGTGCGGCAGGTGACGGCCTTGATGTCGGCCGAGGACTTGCCGGCGGCCTTGAGCTGGTGGAAGATCTTCTCCGAGGCCTCGACGGCGGTCTGGGCGTGGAACTCGGCGGGGTACGAGACCTTGAACAAGACGTTCTCCATGACGTAGCTGCCGTAGGGGCGGTTGAACGCAAACGGCTTGCCCTTGAACAGGACGTCGTAGAAGCCCCAGACCTTGGCGGACAGGACGGTGGGGATGCCCTTCTCGCCCTGCTTGACGCGCAGGACGTTGGTCACGGCGCGCTGGCAGGCGTCGCCGGCGGCCCACGACTTGCGGGACATGGTGTTGGGCGAGTGGCGGTAGGTACGCAGGGACTGGCCGTCGACAAACGCCTGCGAGACGGAGGCGGCAATGCCCTCCTTGTCGAGGCCGAGCATCTCGGCGACGACGGCGGCGGAGGCGACCTTGACGAGCAGGACGTGGTCGAGGCCGACCTTGTTGAAGGAGTTGAGGATGGCCAGGTTGCCCTGGATCTCGTGGGCCTTGGTGGCGTAGGCCAGGACGTCACGCACGGTGATGATGCGGCCGCCGGCCAGCTTCTTGGCGGTGCCGCTCTTGTTGGTGCGGTTGATCCAGTCGGCGACGGCCAGGATGGCGCCCAGGTTGTCCGAGGGGTGGCCCCACTCGGCCGCCAGCCAGCAGTCGTTGTAGTCGAGCCAGCGGATCATGGCGCCAATGTTGAAGGCGCCGTTGATGGGGTCCAGCTCGTAGTGGGTGCCGGGCACGCGCACGCCGTTGGGGACGGTGGTGCCGTCGACGACGGGGCCGAGCATCTTGGTGCACTCGGGGAACTGCAGGGCCTCAAGGCCGCAGCCGAGGGTGTCCAGAAGGATCCATCGCGCGGTGTCGAGCTGTTGGGTGGTCGGTGTTAGATCTGGGCAACCCCGACCAAGAAAGACGCAAGGCCGTTCGGGACAAGACTTACAGCAAGCTCCGAGGTAATGGGCTTGGTCACGTACTCGGCAATGTCGTCGACCTCCTTGTCGTAGGCCATGTTGGAGTTGGTGATCGGAGCCGAGGAGTAGGAGCGGCGGCCAGCAAGCGGGAAGCTGGACTGTCTGGGGACGGGGGCAAAGGCAGAGGCCGAGGAGGCGGGCGTCGACTGCAGCAACGCAGACGAGAGGACGGCGACAGAGCGAGTCTGGGGCCGCAGCACGCGGGAAGCAAGGCGGAGGCTGCGCGTGGCAGAGGACATGGCTGTGAGCGAGATGTGTGAGGATGCGCGATGGGCGATGCGGGCAGACACGGAGACGGGGAACAGAGAGAGAGGGAGGACGGGAAGGGGGGGTGGGAGAAGAGAAGATGTGGAGGCTCACTCTATAAAGCAACGAGGAATCGTCCGGAGAATAGGGAGAGAGACGCGGGGCGAGAAAGGCGCGAATGTCGTCTGTGTGGTGTTTCTTTTTTATGTTCCGTTTGGCCTTCTTTTTGTTTTTCGTATTTTTTGCTCTTGGTTTTCAGTGAATGGCAAACGGCCGACCTCGGGTCTTGGGGCTAGTTGCAAGACCACAGACCTCTCTGACAATGGCAATGTCCAATTGAGATGGGCAAAATCCTAGCTTCCTCGGCTGGAAGCTCTGCGTAGTCGACGTGGAGCGTGTTTGTGAGAGACACTAAACGAGGCCAAAGTCGAAATGTAGTGGCGGTTCCCATCAGGTGGCGCGTTGTAAGTCCCATGTGCCTTCCCCAGCACACAGCAGGCACCCCACCAAAAATTTGCAGCTCCCCATTCGTGGGCCCGGGAAATGCTTTACCGTGGCAAGCCGAGATGGCGCAGAAAAGGGCCCACCGCCCGGTATCATCTCGGCTGGCTACCGTCTGTAAGCGTCTCCTTCCCCAACTGTCCATAACAACCCTGAGAACGACGGCGTGGGCGTTTTGCGGAAGGTGTTGTGTGGCCAGCGTGCCTGACTCTGCGGAAAAGCAGGTGCCACCCGCGACTACTGTTTGAGTGCATGAGTACATGAGTGCATGATGTCTCTGTATTCACGCGGCGTCTGGTGCCCAGCTCCGGTCCGCCGTCGGCCGAGACGTTGCCGCCGACTCGGTCGGTGCCGACTCGTCTACGGCTGCCGATACTCGCTTTGCTGATTCGCATTTGCTCTTCCTCTGCAAGTTTGTCTATATATACAGGAATTTTTGGTTTACAGGTTCCGTTTCCAATTTTTTTGGTTTTATTTTGACATGTGACGTAGCGTTACATTCTGTCTTTCTCACCCAGTTGTGTCGAAGCAAACGGTTGTCTGTTGTTTACATTTCTCAAGCGCCGTATCTCATCCTGTATCTCTCGTGTCTGTGAATATTGTCCTGCGTGAGAGCCGTTGTCCCTTGGCGGCTCCTTGCCTCGCCAGTGGCACGTCCGAAGCATGTGCCTCTCCCAACCCATCGCGCTTTCCAGAAGGGTTAGTTATCTTGACCCCACTACCCCGCCTGATTGGCCAATTCGGTCTTGCCCGACAACACTGAGGGGCTAAGAGAAGCTCCTTCCCTAACATGGGCAGAGGCGTTCTGCGATCTACGTTGCCAGCTGCCACCAGCTGCTTCACCAGGTTTCGGTGCTATTTGCTCAATAGGCCCAAATTCGCTCCATTCATATCATTTCTTGTGTTTCCGGGCCTTCATCATGCGGCTGCTAGCTGGTCTCCTAGTTTGGACAAGCACAGCCTTGTGCACTGTAGCGTCGGCCTCAGCATTGTCGTCGTCGTCGTCGTCGCCGCCCCAATACCACACTCTGCCGCCGCTGCGTGAACAGGCGGCCGTCCAAAATGCGTGGACGGCCGAGCGCAAGACGATCGTGCCGGACCTGCTGCACAAGCATGGCGTCGACGCGTGGCTCATGAGCCAGCGCGAGTATGCCGAGGACACCGTCTTCTGGTCGCTCAAGGCGGCCGCGCAGTTCTCCGCCCGCCGCCGCACGACCTACCTGTACCTTCTGGGCAACGACTCGGCCATCCGCGCGGCGGCACCGACCGCGGGGACGCAGGCCCTCGTCAGTGCGGCCTCGGGCCGCACGGCCACCGAGCTTGTCTGGATCGACAACACGCCGGCGCTGTGGGCCGAGCTGCGCGCCGTCCTGGCCGCGGCCGACCCGGCACGCATCGCCATCAATGCCGCCGAGGAGCTAGCGTTCAGCTCGGGCATGCACGCCGGCGAGCTGGCGGCCGTGAAGCGCGGCCTGGGCGACACGTGGTCGGCACGGCTTGTGGACGACGTGCCCCTCGTGGCCATTGAGTTTGTGGCCACCATGGTGCCCGGCCGCCTGGCATGGTACCGGCGGCTGCAGGAGACGGCGTGGGCGGTGATTGCGGACGCGTTCAGCGCGCGTGTCGTGACACCGGGCACGACGACGACGACCGACGTCGAATGGTGGATGCGGGACCGGCTGCAGGCGCAGAACATGACGACGTGGTTCCACCCGACGGTGTCTGTGCTCGGGGGCCGGGACAGCCGATTTGCGGCGCCGTCCGCGAACAGGGCCGGCTCGGACACGGCATTCATGGCAACAGAGAATGCTGCGCCGACGATCCAGTATGCTGCGCCGACGATCCAGTACGGCGACATGCTGCACGTCGACTTTGGCATCACGGCCATGGGCCTCAACACGGACACGCAGCACCTGGGGTACGTCGTGCCGCCGGTGGGCCACCCGCTGCGTGCAGCCCTGCACGACGGAGATAACCTGGTCCCGGCCGGGCTGCGCAAGGGCCTGGAGGCGGGCAACCGTCTGCAGGACCTGGTGCGCGAGCACATGGGCCGCTCGGTCGGCCGCTCGGGTGACGCCATCCTGCGCGACTGCCGCGCCGTGATGGACCGCAACGGTTGGGAGGGCAAGCTGTACTCGCACCCGATTGGCGACTGGGGCCATGCGGCGGGCACGGTGATTGGCATGACGAACCTGCAGGACGGCGTGCCGGTGCTCGGCGAGCTGCCGCTGCTGGCAAACATGTACTACAGCGTCGAGCTGATGGCCGAGGTGTTTGTTGACGAGCTCAACGCGACGGTGCAGTTCCCGCTCGAGGAGGACGTCTACTGGG